TAATTCAGAAAATGTTCTCTCCATTGGGAATTCTGGGGCTGCATTAAATATCCAAATTCTGTTCCATATTCCAAAAATTGGTTTGAGTTTTGTTGTCTTGGAATAGATTGCTTCTGTCAGGCACCTTCATATTTCCTGTTCTTCACTGACCTTCACTCTTTCTTTGGGCTCCTTATGTAACTGCCTTTTTTCTTGATTTTTAAGGAGCTAGATGATGGTCAAGGGACATTTATATAATAGCCTTTAGGATTTAAGACATGATGGTTCATCTAAAATTTAGGAAAACACATTCCCTGTCATTTTTATGTTTGAAAGCTACATTCTAGGAATTTGACATTTCACAGGAAGATACATTGATTCTGTCTTGTGCCTGCTTGTTTTTCTTACCCAGGTAAGTAGAGGTAGAGCCCATGTAGATTTAAATTTAACTAAGACCTTCCCCCCTCATTTGTCTCTCTGTTCCTTGTGCTCCTTAGGTCAGCTTAATGTGAATGTATTCTGATGTCTTCGTCATTCTTTTACCCAAAAGCTTTTCTGGGGCCCAGTTTAAAATTTTATTTTATGTATTATTATATATTTTTTTGAGTCAGGGTCTCACTCTGTTACTCAGGCTAGAGTACAGTGGCATGATCGTGGCTCACTGCAGCCTCAAACTTCTGGGCTCAAGTGATCCCCTCACCTCTGCCTCCCAAGTAGGTGGAACTACAAGTGTGCCACTGTGACCAGCTAATTTTTAAAAATTTGTGTAGAGATACGGTCTTGCTATGTTGCCTAGGCTTATTTTGAACTCCTGGCCTCAAGTGATCCTCCTGCCTTGGCCTCCTAAAGTGCTGGGATTACAGGCGTGAGCCAGTATGCCCAGCCAAAACTTTCTTTTCTTTTTTTTTCTTTTTTTTTTTTTTTGAGACAGAGTCTCGTTCTGTTGCCCAGGCTGGAGTGCAGTGGCGTAATCTTACGATTACATTAAAGTTATGTATTTTTGGCAAGAATACTACAGAAGTGATGCCTTTTTCAGTGCATTGCATCAGGACATAAATAATGGCCAATCAAGAACAGTATCTTGTTTTGATGCTTGAAATGGTATCCTCTAGGGTTCTGCATAGTAAAGCTACTATTTTTACCTTTGCAATCGGTAAGTAACTTATAAGGAAATTTGAGGTTCTACAAATACCCTCTTGCTCATGACATTTTTATCACTTTAGTTTCATCAATGATTCCTGCAGAGAACAGTTATGGTTATTACTTTTTTGAGACAGGGTCTTGCTCTGTGCCTCAGGCTGGAGTGCAGTGGCATGATGACGGCTCACTACAGCCTTGACCTCCTGGGCTCAAGCAGTCTTCCTGCCTCAGACTCCCAAGTAGCTGGGACCACTGGTATGTGCCACCACACCTGGCTCTGACAGCAGTTGTTTACTCTGGTGTTTGCCAGATTATGATTTTCTGTTTCCATCAGTCTTCAGAGGAACTTGAATTTGCTTTAGGTTAAACCATTCTAAAAAGAAACATTTTTTGGTTTATTTATTTTTAATATCCTATTTCTTTGAGCAGGAGTTGCCATTTCTAAGCCATCAGTGATTTCCCTATTGCAACAAGGGAAAGAACCCTGGATGGCTGGGAAAACAGGATGGTATCCAGGTGGGTAAGGGTGTTGGGGTACTCCCAGCAGAAGTACATTTTAGGGAAGCCCAAACTGGTCAGAGTGGTGATGTCTTTTGTTTAAGATATTGTGTAGAAACCTTCCCTCAGAGGCCCAAGGTCTTGGGAGAAAAAGTTTGACAAATGGGAAGTATTTCAAATATTTACAAAGAACTTTTTTTCTTTTTTTTGGTAGCAGATGTATTGAGGCATAATTGACATATAATGAACCAGCTATGCTATAAAGTATATGATTTGACAAATTTTGATGTGTCAAATGGTATACTTTATATGTATACATGTTTGCTCATGAAACCACCATAATTAAGATGTAAAACCTATTAATCACTCCCATTGCTTCTGATCTAAGGAAAAAAGACTTCAATATTTTATTATTATTATTATTATTATTATTATGAAACAGAGTCTCACCCTCTTGTGCAGGCTGGAGTGCCGTGGCGTGATCTTGGCTCACTGCAACCTCCACCTCCTGGGTTTAAGTGATTCTCCTACCTCAGCCTCCCGAGTAGCTGGGACTACAGGCGTGTGCCACCATGCCCAGCTAATTTTTGTATTTTTAGTTGAGATGGGGTTTCACCATGTTGGTCAGGCTGGTCTTGAACTCCTGACCTCAAGTGATCTGCACATGTCAGCCTCCCAAAGTGCTGGGATTACAGACATGAGCCACCGCATCGAGCCAGTATTTTTTTTACTGACTACGATATTTCTTGTAGATTTTTGACTGATGTCCTTTACTTGAGAAAGTAAGTTCCCTTCTGTTCATAGTTTGGCAAGAATTTTTATGATGAATCTGTGTTGAATTTTGTTAAAAGTATTTTCTATTTTTATTCAATGATCATGTCATTTGACTTAAAATATGTTAATATGTTGAATTACATTAATTGATATTCAAATACTAAGCTGACTTTTTCATGAGGTAAAGGCCATTGGATGTTGTGTTATGGATTTAATATATATATTATTGGATTCTATTTGCTAGTATTTTAAAAGGATTTTTGCATGATCATTCATGAGGAAAATTTGTAGTTTTTGAATGCTTTTTTGGTTTTAGTTGCAGGGTAGTGGTGGGCTTCTGTAATTAGCTGTGAACCATTTCTGTACTCCAAAAGATTTTGTGTAGCATTGGTATTATTTCTTCTTTGACTATTTGATACGATTTCCCATTAAAGTCATTGGGCCATGTTTGTCCTTGGGGCAATGTTTTTACTATAAATTCAACTTCAGTGATAAATATACAGCTTCCTTCCTCCCTCCCTCCCTCCCTCCCTTCCTTTCAGGGTCTTGCTCTGTCATTCAGACTGGAGTGCAGTGGCATGATTATATCTCACTGCAGCCTCAACTTTCTGGGCTCAGCTTCCCATGTAGCTGGGACTACAGGCATACACTACCATGCTGGGCTAATTTTTGTATTTTTTGTAGAGATAGGGTTTCGCCACTTTGGCCAGCCTGGTGTCAAAGTCCTGGGTTCAAGTGATCCATCTGTCTTGGCTTCCCAAAGTGCTGGGATGACAGATGTGAGCCACTGCACCTGGCTTGTTTTACTTATTTTTTCTTGATTGATCCTTAGTAGTTTGTGTCTTTCAAGGAATGTGTCAATTTTCTCTAACTCCTTATACTTCTGGATATTAAATGGTTCATAATATTTTCTTATGTAATTATCTGTTTAATTATTACTTTTATTATTTATGTAGGATTTATAATTAGAAACCCCTTTTGATTCCTGATATTTGTGTTTTTCTTCTTGTTTTTTATTGGTAGTTTGGCTCCAAGGTTTATCAAGCTTGCTGATCTATTCCATAAACCAGTTTTTGACTATTAATTATCTCTGTTATGGTCAGTTTTCCCATTTATTGATTTCTGCTCTTATTCTTATTCTTTACTTCTACTAATTATAGATTTACTTTGCTCTTCTTTTCTCTTTTTTTTTTGTGGGATGGAGTTTTGTACTTGTTGCCCAGGCTGGAGTGCAACAGCGTGATCTCAGCTCAGTGCAACCTCTGCCTCCCGGGTTCGAGCAATTCTCCTGCCTCAGCCTCCCGAGTAGCTGGGGATTACAAGCACCCACCACCACATCCAGCTAATTTTTATATTTTTAGTAGAGATGGGGTTTTACCATATTGGCCAGGCTGGTCTCGAACTCATGACCTCGTGATCCACCTGCCTCGGCCTCCCAAAGTGCTGGGATTACAGGCATGAGCCACCTCCCTGGCCTACTTTGCTCTTCTTTATGTACTGTCTTGCAGTAAAACCTTAGGTTGTTTATTTTATACCTTTTTCTTTTCTAATATAAGCATTTAAAGCTATAGGTTTCACTGTAAATGTTACCTTAGCTATATAACATACATTTTGCTGTGCTATACTTTTATATTGTTAATTTCTAAGTATTTTCTAATTTCCATGTGTATTGTTTAGTTTTCAAGTATTGGGGGACAGGTTCCAGATATTTTAATAATTTCAAACTGAGTTCCATTGTGATCAAAGAAAATATTCTGTGTGACACTAATCCTTTTTAGTATATTGAGACTTGTTTAATGGCCCAGCATATGGTCTATTTGGAATGTGTATAGGTATTTGAAGAGAATGTACCTTCTACAGTTTTTGATATTATGTTTTGTATATATCAACTAGTTGAAGGTGGTGGACAGTGTTACTTATATCCTCTATTACTTTACTCATTTTCTGGGGGAGGGGGATGTTCCAGTTGTTCTATCAGTTACTGAGAGATGGTTGCAAAATCTCCAACTACGATTGTAGAATTATCTATTTCCTACTTTACTTTTGTCAATTTTTGCTTCACATATTTTCAGGCTCTGTTATTCTGCACCTACACATTTCTGATTGCCAAGTCTTCCTGATGAGTTATTATAACTCTTTTATCATTATGAGAAAATTATCTTTGATAATAGAGTAACTGGAAGTCTGTTTTATCTGATATTAATATAGCCATTCCAACAATTTTTTTCTGCAAATTAAATGCCAAGATTTGAAAGTTATCTAAGCCATTTCTTGCTTAAGGGCATTATTATCTGTTTGACTGCTTCTATGAAGTTTTATTTCTCATAAAAGAGGAAAACATGATGTTTATTTTCTTTCAGATATGCTGTCTAGGTATGACACCAAGGAGTTACCTCTTAAGAATGGCACTTTTGAAAAAGAATCGTTAAAATGGAAAATAATAGAAAGAGTCAGAAGTTCTTGCCTCAAGGAATCTTGTTTTGGAAATGATTGGAAATGCAAAGGACTCTTTAAGAGACAACAGGAAACTAAAGAGGAATATTTCAGGCATGTAACTGTGCCATTTGAAAAAATATTATATGAATTCATCCAGCCTACATCTTTTCTTCTAAATCAAATAATTCATACTGGAAAGAAACTCTATGAACATAAAAAATGTGAAAATCTTACTCAACAGGGAAGAATTTGTATCACTGACAAGCTTGATGAAATGTGTGGCAATGCCTCTGTATTTTACACAAATCATATGAAACATCAAATTTTACTGCAAAGAAATGCAATGTATTTAAAGAATGTGGCAAAGACTGCTTGTAACTTTCAACTAACTCAATATCAAATAAGTCATTGCTAATCAGAAACCCTATGAATGTCAGATATGTGGAAAGCCCATAAGAAAGCATGCCCACCTTACCCAACATAATCAAATTCACACTGGTGAGAAACCATATGAATGCAAAGAATGTGGGAAAGCGTTTATGTTGTTCAACATTGATTCAACATAAGAGAACTCATACTAATGGGAAACCCTATGAATGTCTGGAATGTAGAAAGATGTTTAGGTGGAGTGCACATCTTATTCGACATCAAAGAATTCATACTGGTGAGAGACCTTATACACGTAAGCAATGTTGGAAGGCCTTTGCTTCTGTTTCTGATTTTAATAGACATCAGAAAATTCACACTGGTGAGAGACTTTACGAATGTAAAGAATGTGGGAAGGCATTTAACAATTGCTCAACTTCTATTCAGCATCAGAGAATTCACACTGGTGAGAAGCCCTTTGAATGTAAGGACTGTGGCAAAGCATTCAATAATTGCTCAACACTTACTCAACGTCAGAGAACTCATACTAATGAGAAATCTTATGAATGTCAGGAATGTAAAAAGGCTTTTAGGCAAAGCGCACATCTTACTCAACATCAAAGAACTCATACTGGTGAGAAACCATATGAGTGTGAGGAACGTGGGAAGGCTTTCACTTGTGCTTCTGACTTTAACAGACATCAGAGAATTCACACTGTTGAAAAACCCTATGAATGTAAAGAATGTGGTAAAGCCTTTAATAATTGCTCAGCTCTTATTCAACACCAGAGAATTCACACTGGTGAGAAGCCTTATGAATGTAAGCAGTGTGGGAAAGCTTTTATATCCTGTTCAACACTTGTTCAACATCAGAGAACACATACTAATGAAAAACCTTATAAATGTCAGGAATGCAAGGCCTTCAAGCAGAGTGCACATCTAATGAGACACCAGAGAATTCACAGTGGGGAGAAACCCTATGAATGTAATGAATGTGGGAATGCCTTCATTTGTTTTTCTGATTTTAATAGACATCAGAGAATTCACAAAGGAGAGAAACCCTATCAGTGTAAAGAATGTAGGAAGGTTTTCAATAATTATCTAACTCTTACTTAACATCAAAGAATTCATACCAGTGTGAAGCCCTATGAATGTAAGGAATGTTGAAAGACCTTTACTTGGCTTTCAAACTTGAATAAACATCAGAGGCCAGGCGCGGTGGCTCACACCTGTAATCCCAGCACTTTGGGAGGTCGAGGTGGGCAGATCACGAGGTCAGGAGATCGAGACCCTCCTGGCTAACATGATGAAACCCAGTCTCTACTAAAAATACAAAAAATTAGCCGGGCGTGGTGGCAGGTGCCTGTAGTCCCAGCTACCCGGGACGCTGAGGCAGGAGAATGGCGTGAACTCAGGAGGCGGAGCTTGCAGTAAGCCGAGATTGTGCCACTGCACTCCAGCCTGGGCGACAGAGTGAGACTCCATCTCAAAAAAAATTTTAAAAAAATACACATCAGAGAATTCACACTGGTGACAAACCCTTTGAATGTAAAGATTGTAAGAAAGCTTTTCTTTGTTATTCAACATTTATTCAACACTGTAGAACTCATACTAATGAGAAACCCTATGAATGTCAGGAATGCAGCAAGGCCTTTAGGCAGAGAACACATCTTACTCAACATCAAAGAATTCATACTGGTGAAAAACCATATGAGTGTAACGAATGTGGGAAGGCCTTTGTTTGTGTTTCCTACTTTAATAGACATCAGAGAATTCACACTGGAGAGAAGCCATACCAGTGTAAAGAATGTAGAAAATTCTTTATTGATTGTTCAACTCTTATTCAACACCAGAGAATTCACACTGGTGAGAAACTCTTTGAATGTAGGAATGTAGAAAGGCCTTTAGGCAGAGGGCGCATCTTACTCAACATCAAAGAAGTCATACTGGTGAGAAACCCTGTGAATGTAACGAATGTGAGAAGGCCTTTTCTTGTCTTTCACAGCTGAAAAAGCACCAGAGAATACATACATGAAGGGATAAATCTTATGTATTTGAATAGCATCTTTTTATTTAACAATCCTTACCTAACATCACCACATTCACATTGCGAGAAACTTCAGAAATATAAGAAATGTGGGAAACACTTTTACCTGTCCCTCAGCTGTGCTTTTTCATAATGGAATTTGTACTGGTGAGAAGCCTTATGAAAGCCAGATATGTGTAAAGATCTACTCTCACAATATACTCAATATTATATAATATATAGTGTGACTCCTATAGGAAATGCTTGATTTTAAAATTATCAATTATGGAATAGCAAACAATCTGTAAGTGAAGAAAATCCAGTGACTGTGTAAAGTTTTTGCCTCATAATTCACAATTTATTAAGCATCAAATTTATATGGGAAAAATAGAGTATCAATTACTAATAAAAACAATATTACCACTAAAATTATATTTGACTTATCATAGAGAATAGCATATAGAGAATAATCATGTTGACTTTGTGAATGTAGAAAAGTGTTTATCTATAATATGAGTCTTTTTCAGCATCATTATACTTTCACCAGTTTCCACGTCTGTTTTATTACCAAGTAATTTAAACTTTGTATACTTCAGATTACAAATTTCTTACATTGTGATAAGGTTATTGTGAAGATTAAATGAGTTTATCCAAAGACTTCTGGAACAGTTATTGGTAAATAGAAACTATTCAGTAAACATTGGCTGTCATGATTATCACCTTCATTACTACTCTTAGAATATTTATATAAGAACATTTAATTATGCAGATTTTATTAATATAATGAAATCCACCATCACAATTTCTCTGATTGCAAATCTATGATAATTTATTCTGGAATGAAAATTGTTAGAATATAGTGAGTATGAGGAAACATTCATTTAAATTTATTTTAGTTGAATCAGAAAATTCACTCTGGAAACACTGAATGGATGTATTAAGTAAATTTTTTAGATTAAAGTTGATATGAGAAGTGATATATCTGAAGCAAGTTTCAAAAAGTAGTGTACATTTTCTGACAATAACTCAAGATGGGTGTGGTGGCTCACGCCTCTAATCTTAGCACTTTGGGAGGCTGAGGCAGGTGGATCACTTCAGGTCAGGAGTTTGAGACCAGGCTGGCCAACAAGGCAAAACCCCATCTCTACTAAAAATACAAAAATTAGGCAGGTATGGTGGTGTGCACTTGTCCCAGCTACTCGGGAGGCTGAGGCAGGAGAACTGTTTCAGCCTGGGAGATGGAGGTAGCAGTGAGCCGAGATCTCACCACTGCGCTCCAGCCTGGGCGACAGAGTGAGACTTTATCTGAAAAAAACAAACAAATAAGACAAGTAGATATAGAAGACGAATTTTTAAAATTTGCAGTTTATAAACACCACCATATATAGTTCTTGGATTAAGTGAAAAATGCTATCTGAAATAATAGGCTATTTAGATATGAAAGATAGTGAGTGTTGCATAATAAAACCTGAGGTATGTGGCTCATTTGAATAAATAAACATTCAAGCAGAAAAGTAACAAACCCAAAATTAACACTGGAAACGTATTACATAAATCAATTTGTTTATTCAATGAATTTGAATTACTTAAAAAGAAAAATTAATGAGCTAAACAGAAAGTAGACTTTATCTAAAAGTGGTTTGAAACAACTTGTAATATAGACTAGATTTGCCAGTTATGATTGAGATAAGTAAGAGAAATGACATAAATGCATCAGTGCAATTGGGAACATGGAAATTTTACAGGCATTTTTAATAGTATGAAATGTTTTGTTTAGTATTTCAATTAAATTTAAAACATCTATGGTAAACTTCATTTTACAGGACTATGTAAATATGTAAGTGTTTCTAGTTGGTTCACTGAGGCATAGAAAATTTGAATGAAGCCAAACCTGAAGCTATAGAAAGTCTGAATGAAGCCAAAATGTGAAAACTTTACTCCACAAGGAAGAATCCATACCAGTGATAAGCTTAATGAAATGTGTGGGAACACCTTTACATTTTGCACAAATCATATGAAACATCAGAGAAATTTCACTGGAAAGAAATGCAGAGAATATAAGGAATGTGGCAGAGACTTTGATCATAACTTTCAGTTAACTCAGTATCAGGTAAGTCATACTAATCAGAAACCCTATGAATGTTAGATACGGGGAAAGACCTTTAGAAAGGCCCTTCAAAAAATGATCCCTTCAAAAACACTGAAAAATTAATCAGAGATAATTACATTTAAAAACTATTACTTAGGCCATGCATGGTAGCTCACGCCTGTAATCCCAGTGCTTTGGGGGGCCACAGCTGGTGTATTGTTTGAGGGCAGGAGTTTGATACCAGCCTGGGCAAGATAGTGAGACCTCGACTCTATTAAAAAAATTTTTTTGGCCAGGCATAGTGGAGCAGTTCCTCAGTCTTTTTTGTCGTTTATGACATTGACATTTTTGGAAAATACTGGCCATTTGTTTTATAAAATATCATTCCATTTGAGCTTTTCTAATGTTTCCTATTAGATTCACATTATGTATGCTTTGGCACCCATATACTGTACTACGTTATACCATACTGTACTATATACACAGTGCTTTTCCATTTTAGTTTAGTTTAGTTTTATTTTTCAGATGGATTTTTGCTCTGTTGCCCAGGCTGGAGTGCAGTGATGCGATCTCGGCTCACTGCAACCTCTGCCTCCCAGTTCAAGCAATGCTCCTGCCCCAGCCTCCAAAGTAGCTGGGACTACAGGTGCACACCACCAAGCCCAGCTAATTTTTGTATTTTTAGTAGAGATAGGGTTTCACCATAGTGGCCAGGCTGGTCTCAAACTCCTGACCTCAGGTAATCTGCCTGCCTCGGCTTCCCAAAGTGCTGGGATTACAGGCATGAGCCACCACGCCCCAGCCTTTCCCTTTTTATTAATAGTGCATCATATTAGGGCATCAGTAATCCTAACTTTTATCTCTTGATTAAAGTATTGTTGACCAGGTTTGTCCATTCTAAAATTATATTCCCCTTTTTAATTACTAAGTGTTTTGTGGGAAGATCCTTTTAAGCTATGTAAATTATCAAAACCACTAATTTTTGTATTTTTAGTAGAGATAGGGTTTCACTATGTTGACCAGGCTTGTCTCAAACTCCTGACCTCATGATCTGCCCACCTTGTAATCCCAAAGTGCTGGGATTATAGGCGTGAGCTACCGTGCTCGGCCCAGATTAGTATCTTCTAATTAAAAACAAGTTTCAACTGTAACAGTCTACTCACTTTTGGAATTACTGGCAAGGTTTATGTCCATCAATGCTTTTATGTAATTTTCATTTAAGTTGCCTATTCAATATTCACTTTTCTTTCCTTGTCTTCTAATTTTAATTGATTACTGGTAATTTTTATAGATAGCTTCACAAAAAGACACAAAAGACATAAAAGTGTATCATAAAATTTTGGGATGCTACCATTGTCCATTTTTGGAAAAGGTAATTTAATCTCATAGAAATAATTGATAAACATTTAATGGTGATTATCTGTTCCCTCCAAATTTGCTTGGTAAACACTATGTCATACTTAATTTTTTTGTTTTGTTTTGTTTTTGAGACGGACTCTCACTCTGTCACCCAGGCTGGAGTGCAGTGGCACAATCCCAGCTCACTACAACCTCTGCTCCCCTGGGTTCAAGCAGTTTTCTGCCTCAGCCTCCCCAGTAGCTGGGACTACAGGTGCCCAGCACCATACCCAGCTAATTTTTGTATTTTTAGTAGAGGCAGGTTTCACCATATTGGCCAGGTTGGTCTCAAACTCCTGACCTTGTGATCTGCCCACCTCAGCCCTGCAAAGTATTGGGATTACAGGTACATGTACATGCCACCATGCCTAATTTTTTTTTTTTTTTTTTTTTTTTAAGAGACAGAGTCTTGCTGCGTCATCCAGGCTGGAGTGCAGTAGCACAATCTTGGCTCACTGCAACTTCCACCTCCTGGGCTCAAGCAATCCTCCTGCCTCAGCCTCCCAAGTAACAGAGACCACAGGTGCGTGTCACTATGCCCAGCTGTTTTTGTATTGTTAGTAGAGACAAGGTTTTGCTATGTTGTCCGGGCTCATCTCAAACTTCTGGGCTCAGGTGATCTGCCCACTTCAGCCTCCCAAAGTCGTGGGATTACAGGCATGAGCCACAAGACTAGCCATGCCTGGCTAATTTAAAAAAAAAAAAAAATTGGTAGTGACAGGGTCTAGATATGTTGCCCAGGCTGGTCTCAAACTCCTGGCCTCAAGTTATCATCCTGCTTCAGCTTCCCAAAGCACTGGAATTACAGATATGAGCCCTGTTTCTTGATAGTATTGCTTAATTGTAACAAATGTATCATATTAAGGTAAATGTTACTACTAGGGGAAATTGGGTGTGGGTGTATGAAATTGTCATATCTTTGTATCTTATATAAATCTAAAACCATTGTAAAAACTAGTTCATTTAGAAAAAAAATCAGTGACTTTTTTTTTTTGGTTTTTGTAACCAAAAAATCCAAAGATAAATGGAGCTTCGGGTAT